TATTTTATAAACAAACAAACAAATTTGTCACTAATACTTTTATCTAGTTAAATAATAGTCTTATAAAAACAATTGACGTAGATCAACTTGAAAAGACTCCAGTCGCCGTTGACAAAAATGCACAATGTGTTACGGTAAAGAAAATCTATATCGTAAATTACTGTAATAGTACCCCACCCCCAAAATGACGGTGCGGAGTGTTGCGTAGTCTAGCTTTGAACGAGTTTTCTCGACACTGGTTAGGCTGCAATGCGCGCTTAGGTATCAAAAATAGCTGAAATTCAGGGCTATTTTCCGATATCAAAAGACGGAGATCACGTAGTCTAGTTTTGAACGAGTTTTCTCGACACTAGTTTATAAGCATATCAGTGTTTAGGTATCAAAAATAGCCCTGAATTTCAGCTTTTACTGATAACAAAGACGCATTTTTTGAAAGTACGGGCGCTTTGAAAAATGAAATACTAAAAATTTTTGCGACTACGGAACTGTACGATGAGTGGGGTACTATTACAGTATTTACGGTATGTAAATACAAAGTTTTTCTTTTTAAAAGATTATTGAAATGGTCAAATGATCAAACTTGTAAATTATTTAATAATTTTAAGCTTGGTTGAATTGGAGTCTCGTTTGAATGCATCTCGTTTGACAGTGGCTGGAGCAAAGTGATGTCAGAACACGGTAACGAAATGCAAATTTCATTTCAAATTTCAATTTAGCTCTCGAGGGTAGAAACCAGATTCATCGGTGGAGATTGGAGAAAATGTATAAAGAGATTCTTTAACGATATTCAAAAATGTTGCATCTCACCTACAGCCGAGCAGGGAGGAGCTGATAGAACGACTGACGGCGGCTGAGGCGCGGATTAGAGAGGTGATTTGATCAAATGTTCGCATTTAAAGTAGACAATAGACAAAGCAATCGTCGTAAGTTAAACAATTTTAGCTGGGAAACCTGGAGATTATCTCAAGTAATCCTGATGATGAAGGATAGAAGACGATCAAGGAAATCGAATTTCTCTCTGCAAGTTTATTGATCGATCGCTTGAAGATGGGAATTTGGTTGACGGAATCGAGACACATTTGGAGGTAAATTTTGGATATGTTTGGTGGGAATGAAAAGAAAATAGTTTCAACCTTTATGATGTAGCGAATAAGCCTAAGACTTGTCTTCAACCTCAAACCGTGTTCGTTTTAAACAAAGTCTTTTCTAGAACGTGGCAACTCAAAAGCTACCGTAATTTCGTCTCTATTTTTATCCAATTAATCTACGTTCTAATTTGATTTTGTTAGGCTTAGAATACAAAACTATCAAATAAATTGGATAATAAGTAGCCAAAAGGCAAGCTTCCGGTAGTTTTTCAAAGTTGACACGATGCATAATTTGAGACGAATACAAGTTACCCTGAGTCAACTCCAAAGTACTGTCTGATCCCGAATAAAGTGTTTCTTGCTAAAAAAAAAGACCGACTCTCTGTCAGGAAAGTGAATCGGGGAGAAACCCAGTCTCAACTCGACCAAAACGACGAAATCGACAACGACCAAGAGTTGAATCCGCACAAATTGCGGTCACCGTGGTGTTTCAACAATCCAGATTTTTGAGGTTCAACAATCACAAGAGCGATTTGCTTTCGAGTGTCATGCACGATACTAAAACACTTTTTTTTTCTATCCTAACATTGGTTTTCTATTTTTTGCGATTACCCGATTAAAAGCATGGCTTTTGATTTTCGGTGCTTTTCGCTTACACGTGTCAATAGAATGCTCATTTATGCTATGGAAAAGAAACTTGCTAAAAACGTGACACCGGTGAGCAAAGTGCTTGGTTTTTTTGTTAGATCTCTCAGAATGAGGAAAGCCGTGAAAGTGTCGATTCTGGAGTTGATTGAACTCCAGGCCTTCGACGGTTTACAGTTTTGCTCAAAACAGATAGAACAAAGTAAAACGAGATAAATTTAGAACTCAACAAGTTCGAGACTTCAATTGATTCCTCCAAATCGCGGAAACTCATTTCCATTGAGATTCGGTCGTTTGTTGAGATCATTGCGTGCTCGCGGGGCTCGCCGGCCCTTCTTCCAGTATGTTCGCTATTTTGTGCTCTTTATGCCCTGTTCACCCACATTGTGCTCTTCTTATTACTGGTGGATTCCCTGGGTGTTAGGTTTCACATTATTTTCAGCTTTTACTTTGTGCATGAAATATAAACACATTCTTTCTAGCACACTTAATTCTTCTCATTATTTTGAGAGAATGGTGAAGAAATTGAGTGAACTAAAAAAATGTTTCCATTTTTGAACACCAAAAATAAGTTAATTTATTTTAAGTTATATTGTAGATATCGCTTTCTTTGTCGAACAGATAATGCTTTGAAACAAAAGTCCATTTTAGGTTTTTATTACTGTCGCAATTTGATGAGCTTATGAACTCAAATTTCAATTTTATTTATTTTTGGCCTTTTTGCAAAATTGTCTTTTCTATTGCGTGCCTTATATGGATCAGGGAAGTGCCGGCTCCAAAAAACGTTTTCTGTGATAGTTTTAAATGGGTATGGGTTTCATATGAGCTGGCAAAAAAAATACTTACATAAAACCAATTGTTCTATGTGCCGAATTTTATACTCTGATCACCAAAATTGCACGTAATAGTTATTATACAAGCGCATAATTTTATTTATTTAAAGAACTTGCTAGTAAAGTTGTGTCATTTCGCAAATCGTGTCCGTAATTTTAACGCTATTAATCCAAAGATACGTCCAATCAAAAACATTGCCACGAGTATTCCTAAAAGAAACTTCATAAAAAATAACATTTTAAACCCAAACTGACCGCTATCTATCCAAAAGAGCATCCTACGGGCTTCATATCGCGATTCAGCATCACTCTGCGCCATTCTTCGCTGGACAAGGGGCGGTACAGTCTGAAAGTAAAATTGACATCCTCTCACAAGTTCGGATTTAACTAAATTCCAAAATAAATAAAAAAACACTTTACTTTCAATAATCCCATGCGCCAACCATTGTTATTCTCTAGTGCCTCAAAACCAAAGCGGAACCATGAAAGAAATGTAGCCCACTAAGTGATAAGTAAACATTCTAAGTGACAGTGCAAAACATTTACCTGAACAGTATGGCGGCACATCGTCATAGTTGATATAGAAGCCACCGAAAGATTCGCATCGGTAGCACATAAAGGGGCATAAAAGGCAATTGCAGCTCCCTCTTCACCAAATACACAAGCGCCAAACATCGCTAAAATGATGTATATTAAAAATAAGAAGTTTCTGACAACAGATATTGGTGTTAGCTGTAAAAAGCTAATTGTAAGCTAGGCAATTTAGGAAAAAAAACTAAACAAACCTATTGAAACTGCCACGTATGCTTGGAGAATACACACAAAAAGATATTTGAAGAACACACCAGCACTCGCATAGAGACCTAAAACGATCAATCAGATATATGTCAAAGCTCAAATCAATTCTACCTGTCATCCAATAAACGATTAAAGCGTAGATAATTGGCAGAATTGTGTATTGTGGCAACTCAGCGACAGATTTTGCCCAGTAATAGCTAAAAGCAAAATAAGTATTTAACCCAAAAATAAATCATACCTGTCAGCGGAGTAAATTTGTGCTCTGTGTTCTCTTAAGAAAAGAGGCAACTCAGCGGTGATCACCTAAAAACTGGGCAATTAGAAACCTGTAATAACCAAACCCACATTAATAGCAGGGTAAAGGAAGAGGTAGTTCATATCACGAATTGTATTGTAGAGTACTCCTTCGATGTTTTGAATGGTATCCCCAGTTATTTGCACTTGCAAGTTGACTAAGCCAATCACTACAGCGGTAATCTAAATGAGAATGTGGCATGAAATAAAAAGCTAAACATTATCGAATCTAAATCTAAACCAAATTAACTCACAATTGTTTGAAAGAGTTTTACTTTTGACGAGTAGTGGATCACGAATAGATGCAAGAAATGATCGCTTGAGAAGAGCCCAGAATTGAGAAAAAATACGACGCTGCATAACTAAACAAGTTTTTGCTGCATAACTAAAACAAACATAACTAATTTAAACGTTTTTCATAAGATTATGAAGTGAAAACTTTAAGGATATTTAAGGGATTAGCCGCAGTTAACAATAAGAAATTTAACTAAAACTCACCAAGGGATCTTCTGCAATTCACGGTTTCCACTTTCTGCAGACTACGCACACTGCCACTCAAATCCCCGTGCACGACTCGCCGCAAAACTCGCCCTGGTCAGCTTCTTTCAAATGCTTCAACGATTCGCTAGACAATAGAATTTATTTAGCGTGTATCAATTCACCTACTTCAACTGTCGACAATCATATTCCTGGGTTTCCGGTTCCACTGAGAGTAGTTGGATCATGTGGTCGGCTGGAGCGCAATCAAACGGAACCCCAAAATATTCTTTATGATAGAAACTTATAAATAAACTCGCTCAATATGATCGTCATTGATTGCTTCCAAAAAGGATAAAATTTCCAGAGGCTCGTCCATGAAACGCGGATCGACCATTAGCCATAAAACATACTCTAAAAAGTTGAGAATATTAATCAAATTAGAATTAAAGAAAAACTAAGAAAGAAAAGTAGGAACTGCAAAACCCACTTGTGAAACATTTGAAAGACTTCAGCTGACGGTTGATGAATGGCAGTGACAATAGTTTTCCCTTGAGCGGCCAAGCGAAGAAGACAAGTAACAACTTGTTGTGCCATGAACGAGTCAAGACCACTTGTTGGCTCATCACAGAAAAGAATTGAAGGATCAGTGAGCACCCTGAACATAAACTAAAAATGCAATACAAAATTGATAAGATTGCCTAAAGACTCGGCAATTGTTTCAAAAATTTTGAATTCATACTCACATGCAAACGCTAAACGCTTCTTTTCACCAACAGAAATTCCCTTGGTTCGGTTTGGGATCCCAATCAATGTTGTTTGGCAATCAACCAAATTCATCTAAAAAATTCAAAGTATACAATGTCAGTTGTAAGTTTTCTTTTAGTGTAATAAGTGCATTACTCGCAGTACAACAAAAGCCACTTCAGTGATGACCTCTTCAACTCGTTGACGCCGTTGAGCTCTTGTATATCCTCTTTCCATCCGGAAGACTTGCCGAGAAAAAGCAATTGTTCTTTCACCGTCAAAGTGCCACAAAATACGTCCACCTAAAAAGTAAGACATATGTTAAAATATTAAACACACTTGTTGTACAAAGGTGGCTATTCGTCGCAGAGTTGTTTCATCCACTTCATCACCATTCACAAGAACCATGCCAGATTGCTAAAGAAAGATTTACATTAAAACCAGGACAAAACAACCCTGACTCCTTCTTGTTTATTGTTCGTGAGAATATTGAGTAGAGTTGTTTTTCCGGCACCAGAGCCGCCCATGATGGCCAAAATTTCACCCGGTAATGCAAATCCAGAAACTAAACAACAAACTTTGCTTGTTTAAGCCTCAACTGACCATTTTGGAGTACTGCTTTCGTTCCGGTCATGTTCTTTTGTCTTTTGCCAAAATTTGAAGGATTTCTGCTTTTCAACGGGCAAAGTTGCATAGGAGTTCCTTCCAAACGATGAGCTTTCCAGCCGCTGTCTCAGGTTCTAAAAGGAGAAAAGATAATGTTTATTTTATTGATAAAACATTTGGTAACTCTGGTGACCATAACTAGTGTTCCAGTCATGAGTTTTTAAACTTTTCCTAGAGTAAAAAGTGAGCTAAATTGATTGACAACATTTTCGGAACAATCCATATAAATTTACGTGGTTGATAAAACATATTTACGGATAAAACATCTACTCTAACCACTCCTAGTGCTCCAACAATCATCCAGCAACAACAAAAACACGAATCACTCACTTGATAGTAGCCGTTCCATGTCTAGTTGATGATCAATTTACGATTTTCTGCTTGATCTCATTTTGACTTACTAGGAAAAACATTTCTGAACGAAAAAGTAGAAAAACTTACAGTTTCAACTAAGGGAAGGAAATTCAAAGAAAGTTGGCTAATAAATGAAATTGTTTATGAGAAGAAAAATGACGATAGTCATTTTTCAGTCGGATGTAAATTTGTCATTTTGTCATGACGACAGTCGGATGTAAATTTGTCATTTTTGTAAATTGACGTGTTTTTAACAGATGAAAAATCTGTTTATGAAAAAAAATTAGATTATAGAAATTATTTATTAGGACCCGAATCATTTGTACACATGAGTGATTAGAATTCTTTCGAGAATCGATCTCTCAACGCGTCGACTTGATCTTGAGTGATCTTTTCGCTCATCGCATTCTGAAATTCAGCTTTATGCAAATTTCTGGTCGGTTAAATAATCTCATTTTGGTCTTGTTCTAATGCGTGGATAAAGGCGTACTTATAAAAAGTTACCGTACCTAAGAAGCTTTTCAGTAACTTGGCTCATTGTGGGATTACGGTAACTTTTCTGAAGTTTTTAGCCTTCGAACTTCCGAAAGAAGCCTTCGGAACTTTTAGAAAGCCTAGAGGAAATCTATTTTGTTTTTTTAATTCGCCCTGCAATTATCAAAACAATTTTAATCATTCTTTAGAAACTTTAGCCCTCATCTACCTGTATAAGCAGATGACATTTAAGTGAGGGTTTACTCGGTCCGATTGATTGAATCGTTGTCAATAGTTGATCCATCGTCTTGCAGGCGGCAATTTTTATGGAATTTATTCGAAGCAATCTGGAACAAGCAATGAAAGTAGTGTTTATGTCATTTTTATTTCTTACCGTATCGCAACTCGAAAGAACCAAACAACGTCCTCGTAAATGAAACAATCCCAAATTCGGAGGAACCGTCTGAACAAGAAAATTTCTTTATTATTGTCTTTTCTTCACCTCCATCGGAAGAACTTCCAGAAACCAGCAAAGGAACCATTTTCCGAGTAGGGAGATCCAAACCGACATCGAGACGAACCAATGTCGAACAAATCACCGGTACTTCTTGACTGAATTGTCGGCTGATTGTCGAGTTCATTTTAGAGAAAACGGCTAGTTGAATTCAATGTTAACTAGTGTAGCAATGTACTGCAATAAATCTGAATAGTCATTGCAAAATAACCATTTTCCCACTCACCGTAACAACTCATAAGGCCAATACTCGCATATCTCCGCGCAATCCACTCATATCCATTCCATACCAAGAGCTTCGGGGTTTTATCTAATTGAAAGATTGCATGGTCTTTTTCTCTGACAAACCAAAAATATAAGAAGATCTTTCTGTCCGTTCCTCATTCTCCAAAAAAGCAGCCACAAAAAGAGCGGCGATGAAGTTGAGACCCTGGACAAATTTATCTTGAATACAAGATCTAATTCTAATAAAGCTAGCACAAAAATACCCACTCTGACAATAGCTGATCGATGGAACAAACCGGGCCAACTCATACAAAATCCTTCCCACCGTGTTTTGGGCTTTTGTGTTTCTAAAAACACTTAAAGTTCCCGGTTTCTTGTCTCACTACAGTCTAAGAAATATATATCCACCTTGCTGAGAAAGCTGACAAAGCTGAATATCTTTTGATCTCTAGATCTCGTTTTAACGTCCAGATACAAACTGTTACATCACAAATTTTACCCAATTCTCTTACCGTAATCGAATATTATCGGGAAATGTTCGCGGTAGATCAAGTCGAATCTCTTCAGCCACTAAATTCGGTACTGAAGTTGACGGGATCTCACCACGAGGCGGACAATTACGCAGCCAAACCTAAAAGCTCAATTTTATTGTAAAAGCCTTGATGTGCTCTTTGCACAAAGCCCAAACCCAAACCTCTTTCCGGAACGTCGATGGTACGCCCCTGGGGAATGGAAACGTTGCACCGGAAATATTGATAAGTATGAATATAATATAAAATTGTCAAAGCCTTTGATTCGAAACATTATTCTTCAACTTAAAATAAGATTTCAATCAAAACCACAAACTCAGCAAAGGATGTGTTCTGGATCAGACTTTCTCCCATCTCTTTCGCCTCCTCACCAACGTCGGCAAGTACTGGGTCCAAAAATCCGAGTAGGCATTTGCTGTTTTGAAGTAAGTGGCTGGAAATGGCTTTCTTTAGACTTTAGCATTCAGCTAATGCTCCAATAATGATTACAACTGATTTCGATCTTGGCTTGATCGATTTGGCGACTTAAACTCAAAAAACCTCACAGTTTTCGTCAAGTTTTACATCCCATGGACGTCGAAAACCAAGATCGTCTACTTCACTAAATGGAAATTGATGTTATTTAGATCTAAAACCAAGGGTTTTCTTTTCAAAGATGGATATGAATAAAGTTTCAAATCCTTCCAGGAGGGCCAGTAAAATGGAGAGCGCATTGTTCAATTATCAAAGTTCAGACGTTTTCAAGACTTTCTCAGAAATTTTTAAGATCTAAACTTGAAATGAAAATAGTGCCAATAGCCAAAATTCTAAATATTCAGGTAAACAAAATAAGTCGGAAAAATGAGATCAAATGGAATTCGAATTTGATCCAAATGGAAAAAGGGATGAAGGTGGATCATTTGAGTATAAAGGTATGAAAGGGAGGGGGTGAAGAGGGCAGCAGTTTGTGTCAATAATACGTAGGGGTGGGGGGTGGGGCGAAGCAGGCAAGGGAAGCTACGTTCTCTACCTTGCCTCTACTGCTATAGGCCTCCCTAGCCCATTCATAGAGCAACAAAAACGTTTCTTCCCACATACATAAAAGCCTTTTTGTGGTGAGCCTCAAAAATCTCCTTTTAGCGCCACCGATTTAGCTACGGACGAGTTTCGATATTTGGAGCCATTGTGTGATCTTTTGACGTTTTTCGATTCAAAGCGAAATGCCCAGCGTGTCTCGATTACAAAAGCACCCTCTGAAAACGAACGAATGAAAGAGTTCGTAAAAATATACCTACCGTAAATACTGTAATAGTACCCCCCCTCCTCGTACAGTCGCGTAGTCGCAAAGTTTTTTAGTATTTCATTTTTTCAAAGCTTGCCTGTACTTTCAAAAAATGCGTCTTTGGTATCAAAAATAGCTGAAATTCAGGGCTATTTTTGATACCTAAGCGCATTGTAGCATAAACCAGTGTCGAGAAAAATCGTTCAAAAGCTAGACTACGCAACACTCCGCACCATCATTATGGGGGTGGGGGTACTATTACAGTATTTACGGCAACCTATATTTTACTCATACCATTGTTTTATAACGGTTTAACATGACAAAAACGCACGGGAGATGGGGGTGGGATAATGGGACTTTTTGGTACTGGGACATTTGCGCAATTGTTGAAAAGGCCTTGGGAAGGTCGTAGAGCTTCAAAAATGTTTTCATAGAAGGGAATATGTAGATTCTGACTTTCGACAACAGACCTGCTGACAAGTATTAAATAAAAGGCAAAAACTACGCAACTTAACGCTTTTCCGCAGTTTTTGCCTTTTAGCCCAAATTCTGACGTATCAGCGAGGTCTGATTTGTCGAAATTCGGAATCTACGCATACGATTCCCTTATATGGAAAAAATTTCGAAATATTTTCGAAGCTCTACGGTCTTTCCTAAGGCCTTTTCCAGCAAAAAAGGTGCGCAAATGTCCAGGTGCGCAAAAAAGGTCGCATTTGTCCCACCCCCGGGGAGATATACAAAAACGTAATACTAGGGAAAAAAATACGTAATAAAATGTAATACGCAGGGAAAAATAATACTATCAAAAAAGTACCAAGGTACACATAGTACTTAAAAATGTAACACTTCGATCAAGCAAAATAGGATTTTGTAGACTTTATGTTTTCGATTTCGTGAGCTAAACTGAATATCTTAGTCACGTCGTATTTTAGATTACTGTATTCCGGGGTATAAAACTAGAATTTTTAGACAAAAATTTCATTTAAATCATTGTTGTGGGGGTGGCTTTGTGCCAAATTTTTTGCGCAACTAGTTTTAGGTACTGCCATAACTTTTTCCAATCGGTCATTTTTATGATTTTGGTGTCATTTTGTTATACTTGTTGAGATCTACAAAATGATACCAAAATCACAAAGATTGGCCGACTTAGAAGAAAGTTATGGCGAGTTGCGCAAAAATTTGGCGCAAAAGTAGCCATCCCCTATTGTTGTTAGTAAACTTTAGTAAACTGCTACCAATAAAGCTATTTTTTGTACAAAATGAAATTTTGTGGATTCGAAGAGAGAAAAGTCCAATGAAATGAAAGTTTTTGACTGAGGAATACAAAATTGATTTTTATCCAAAAACGTGGTGAGCTTTCTCTCAATTTCCTTTTCGTGCCTCGACTCTGATGTCAGAGAGATAAGTGACGCTGTTTCGGGTGATGAATCACTCCCCATTTTTCGGCAAATGTTTATAAATCTCAGGAAAATGGAAAACATAAAACCACGCAGCTGCTTGGTTTACGGATCAAAATTGAGTTTTTCGGAATTTCGAAAAACTGTGAGCAATTTTACATTGTCATTGTCAAATTTTCGATAAAATTCTAAAATTTTATTCAACAAAATTGGCAACAAAAAAAGCTGAGGATTCTTGGAAAGAAGAAAAAGAAATGGGAAAATTCTAAAAACTTTAACAAAACAATATCGGAGAGAGCAGAATTCTTGTTGAGAGCCGAATTTCAAAATCACATTGTTCACTGTTTTTTCTGCGCACACAGAAAAAAAAGGCCAAAGAATACAGGCGGTGAAATTTTGGGGAACCAAAGGGTGCAAAATTTGAGGAAAATCAAGAATTACCCGGAATAGACTCGAAAATACGGTGAGTTTGTGCGTTTTTAAAAGTTTAAGTTCTTAAAAATAAGGTACTTTATAACATGGAGGGTTTGATGAGAAGTTGATGGGGATTTCCTGAGATGAAAAATAGAAAAATTGGAGGTTTGAAGAGGTTGATCGATTAGAAGTTACAGCAGAGTCGATTTTGTAGTGCTTTCAAACATGGAAGTCAGTTCATTTCAAGAAGTCTTATGGGATACGGTGCTTCTTGTAGAATTAGCCAAATTAGAGTATTCAGTCTAGACTGTCTGGATTACGGTATTAAACCTAGGATAGGATATTCAGTCTAGAATAGCTAGGTTACGGTATTCAGTCTAGATTAGGTATTTAGTCTAGAGTAGAGTATTCAGTCTAGATTAGAGTATTCAGTCTAGACTGTCTGGATTACGGTATTCAATCTAGAATAGGATATTCAGCCTAGAATATTTAGTATTCAGTCTAGACTGTCTGGATTACGGTATTAAACCTAGGATAGGTATCAGCGGAAATGGTATTTAGTGATCACGGTATTTAGTCAAGATTAGGGTATTCAGTGTTCAATAGTTTTAAACCCTGGACAAAATTTTAAAAGATAACGAATCTAGATTTAAAGATGATCGATCTACAATAGCTTTTAGTGTCTTTTAAAAAACTGTTAATTTTACTACTAGAATTAAGTTAGATACGTTAGAAACGTAAGTTTACATGTTTACGATAGGGTTACGGTAGGTTTTAAGCGTTGATACGCTTTAGAAAGCTCAGTATCTCTTTAACGCTTTCAGCCATAGTTGAAACGGTTTTTATGATAAGAAAGAAATCATTTCTGTAAGGTTTTTAAAGCGATCAGCGATCAGCGAAATGAAACAGCGATCCACACTCATTAAACTCTAAAACGATCAACCTTTAAAAATAATTTGTCGACTAGTTGTGACTTGCCGGTTGAATATTTCCCAAAAAAAAGGATAACTATATATTGAGGTTTAAGAATATCATTTGAAAAAGAGAAAAAATGACACCCGAAATGAAAAAATGGGAATGAGATGATCATGATCATTGAGAACACGGAGAAACGCACAAAGAAATCGGGAAAACTGAGCAAAATGAAAACAAAGTGCACATCGGTAAAAGGAGAAAAAGATTTTGGATTTAGATTTGGATTTAGACTTGGATTTGCATTTGCATTTGGATTTGAAAATATTCTCTAAGAATGATGGTTGAAGGTCATTATTGTCGGAAACCCTCGCCTTGCAATCGACGCATCATATCGGAAGACGGGAGTTGATGGCCGCCCATTCCATCTGCAAATGACAAGAAGTGAGTACAAGTTTTCATTGTAAATTGTTAAAAAGATATTCAGTTGTCTTATTCTGGTTACGGTAGGGGAAATAAGAGCCTAGCACTTCAGGGGTAGGCTAGTTTCCGCAACTTTTTGGTAACAGGGTCGTTTACGCAACTCGGATAACTTTCTTCTAAGTCAGCCAATCTTTATGATTTGGTGTCATTTTGTTGCACTTATTGAGATCTACAAAATGACACCAAAATCATAAAGATTGATCCACTTAGAAGAAAGTTATGGGGAGTTGCGTAAACGACCCAGTTGCGCAAATGACCCTGGCGAAATAAAATGGCGGAAACTAGCCTACCCCAATAAGAGACCTCAGGATCTTTGAGCAGTACTTTCGCCCGAGTTAATATAGAAATTTACCTTTAATATCTTACTTTATCATCAAATTTTGCTTCTTTTAGTCCTAGATTTTATATAATTTTGATTAGAATTAAGATAAAAGAAAGATATTGGGAAATTTGCATTTATCTTGTCGGCTGATGCGAAAAATTCTCTACTCCAAGCCCCAATTTTCCAAAATCCCTAAGATATATCTAGTGCTGTTTCTCAAACCCAATAGCAAATCAACTCTAATTTCTCTACTTACTCAATTGAGCCATTGCCAGCATTTGTGGATGAATTCCCATTCCAGCCAACGCAGCCGCTTGTTGTTGAGCGGCTTGTTATCCGTGCAGCTGCCTAGAACAATTTTATTAAATTTTAGCTAAAGAATAGCAATTCTCACCTCAAATCCCCTCAATCCCTGCATTAACATCATTTGCATTTCTGGTGTAACAGCCATCCCAGGCGGGACACCCATTGCCATCGATGCGGCCGCCATTTGTTGAGCCTGTTGTTGCTGCTGTTGGTGCTGGGCTTGTTGTTGCTAGAAATGGTGAGTTCAAAGCAAATTTCTAAGCCTTTGCCTTGTTGTACGTGTTTAAAAATGGATCTAGAATCGGCTTACCAGTAATATTTCCATTTGCAAGCGTTGCATAGCGGCTGGATCTTGAGCAGCGGCAGCGACAAGAGCATTCATATCGAAATGGGGCATTCCAATGGGATGACCACCTTGTGCGGAAGACGTTGGTGGAGGTGGTGGAGCCATTCCACCAAATGGTGGCCCTCCTCGACCCATTTGCATAAAACGAAGAGCCTCTTGTTGGATTCTCGCTTGCATTACCTAGAATTGGCTTTGTATAACTTTATTAGTCTTGCTCATGATACCTGCTGTTGCTGCTGTTGTTGATGTTGTTGATGTTGTTGATGTTGTTGCTGAGCCTGTTGTTGGGCTTGTACAGCGGCGGCTTGTGCTTGTGCTTGTGCTTGTTGATGAGCGGCTTGTGCAGCGGCTTGTTGCTGTTGTTCGAGAGCGGCGGCTTGTTGAAGAGCAACCATTTGTTGTAAGAGATGAGGATGAATAGATCCAGGTGGGAAACCAGCTTGTAAATTTGCGATCCCAGGCGGCAGACCGGACATCTGAGCAGACATCTGAGTAGGCATTGAAACGGGTACCATTCCAGACGCAACTCTTGCCACTCCTCCAAGGAGTTCCGAGAAAGATTGTTGTTGAGCGATCGGGTTCGATTCCTGAAACTTGTTTTTAGTATTATAGCAAAGTAAAGAAAGTATTAAAGATCTTAAGAATGAATATTTATCGCTATACTGAGCCAAATTTTAGTTTTGAAAGTCTTAAATTCTTTTTGAAAGTACCTTTTTCGGTTGCCCAGCGGAATTCGAATGTGATTTGGTCTTCCTCCTTTTCTTCGCGTGCTTTCTCTTTTTTCCTTGATCCCAAGCAGATCCAGGCTGAAAGAATCAGTTAAATTCGTTAACTTAAACCATTCAAACTTAAACTTAACTTAAAACAAACTTAAACTTAACTCGTTAACTTAAACCTACCTTATTTCTAAATCTCAAATCCGTTCTCGCACTTCGTTGTCCATCTTTCCATTTCATAGCAAGAATGAATTCACAATTCTTCGACGAATGAACAATGTCTTCTGTTATAATCGGGATTTCTTTCTCTTCTTCAACGTATGGCTCAATCGGTTCTCCTCCGAGATTTGCGTCGGCTATGATTGTCGAATATCCATCAAGTCCGTTGTTCACTGGAGTTCCCGATTTTGGCGATGAGGCCAACTTTCGCTCCAACTGAAAATAATTATAAGAATAAAGTTTTCATCAAAACACTTACATCAGTTTTGTGTGAAATGGCAGGCACAGAAGTGCCATCAACACCCGTTCTCGGGGCAACGGCTGCAGTTGACGGAGAGGGGACATTTGGGGGGTTGAAGAAGTGAAGAACTTGATGATGGAGTGGCAGAACAAGAGGAAAGAGTCGACGATGAAGGGGATGGCTTCTGGAAAATAATTTGTTTTTTGGCTCTAAAGCTCTAAGTTCAAGTCTAAAGTAAATATAAGTCTACTGAAACGAAGCTTGTCCCCAACCTCATCATGCTCGTCTTTGATCTCCTTTTTCACCGATATTCCATGCATCTCGATATCCATCTTCTCGTCCTCATCCTCTTCTTTTGGTTTCTTTTTGCCGAATTCCCATTCACATGTGGCACGGCACTTCGCTTTCGTTTCCCATTTTTGTGATGGAGTGGCTTCTTCTCGAGATCGAATTCATGAATTGATTGTGCCTGTGACGGGCTTCTTCTTTCATCTCCCATACTCGGCGTTCTCTGTCTTTCTTTGCGTCCAGCTCGCGTTCGAACGCCTGATTCTTCCTGAAAATTAATGAGTAAATCTGCATAAATCGATTTCGAATTATTGCCTAATCTAGGTATCTTTTGCTTTCCAATTCACTAGCACTTGACTATGTATTTTTAGAGTCGATGTGAAATCGGATATGTGAGTTTAGAGATAGGAGTGCTCGAAATTTGATCCATATCCTTTCCAACACTCACCTACTCATTCACTTTAATGTAAACGGTTAAAATGACTGTGTTCGAATATTGAGAAGCTAGTAAAAGCTCAATTTTCTAATGTAAAGCATTTAATGTGATTCTAAAGTTTCCCAATTCTAACTGACTAGGGGTAATCAACAGAAAAATCAAACAGAAACAAACCTCGTCGTCTCCACTCTTGAACAACTCAGGAGGGACTGTGGCTGGTCTCTCAACAGGTCTCAATTGTCCGTATTTCTTATAGAATAGCCGACAATTCGTGCATAAAAGTAGATTCTCTCTGCCGGCGTGATGCCAATCGCGCGATTCTGAAATTATCGATTTCAAACGGTTTTCTGATGATAGGAAAAAGCGACTCAATGACTCGTAAAAGATGAGAGGGAATCATTTCAGATTGCTTATCAATAAAGCATCTGATCAAAGGAAAGAGGAAAGGGACATTGATTTCAACAAACACCAGCCTTCAAAGGTTTCTTGCATTAAACTCTTCAATGGTTCAAAGCTTTTAGTCTTGGTTTCTAGCGACTTTTTAAAGTGCAAAAAGCTACCGTAATCTCTAGACAGTCTTAAAACGTTTAAATGAAGAAACGAGACTTTAGAGAAGATTTTTGATGATTTTATTTGCTGTCTTGCGAATCATTTTCTCAGTTTTATTTAAATGAATTGAACTCACTCGATTCATAACAATGATGGCAAGCATATCTCAATGGTCGTCCCTCAATTTCTCCCGTTTCCACTTCACTCTCGCTCGCACTCGCATAATCGTGCAACTCTGTCGATCCAGGACGAGACGTTTTCAAAGAGTTCTCAAAGAGTTTAGTTAAAGTTTAGTTTAATTTTAGAGTTTTAATCGTTTGCTCCAAGAATTCCTCTTCGCTCAATACCTTAAAATAGATGCTTTTTTATTTTAGCTTTTAGCTTGTAGCTTTTAGCCTGTAGCTTTTAGCCTGTAGCTTTTAGCCTGTAGCTATTGCTTAAAGCACTCTAGTAGTCCATAAAATGTTTTCTATCTTGTTCCAAAAGCTGACAAAAAAACCTTTGGTTTCCTCGTGATCGCTGTCTGATTTCTCATTCTGCCAATGGCTTTCGGTTTCGTCGCATCCTGTGACTTTTTCCACAAATAGTAGAAACTGACCAATTGATCCTAAAATTTCTCTAATTCACATAATACTTTGCAAAAATGAATCCCTTTGCTAGAATCCAGAGAAAATGGGTTTTCATCGAGTTTTCAATCAAATTTTCAACCAAAAGAGAAGCCCAGGGATTGGACAGGAAATCAAATTTGCGGTCGCCCATTTCCCCGTTTCTTTTCTCTCAACTATTCGCAAAGGGAATCAAATAAGATTCTTCTAATAAGATTCGAGTAAAATGAAATCGAATAAACGAACTCTTTTGTACATTGGAAGACATTCTCGGGAGATTTTCACGAAATTTTTCCCGTATGTGCGAATCCCTTTCCCGAATTTCTTCACATCTTCTTGCGTTAAGTATGAGACATCCGAAGAGAGTAGTCTGGAATGGAAATGTTAGAAAAAAGGCTTTTCAACTTTAACTTCAACAACTAACTAACAACTTTAAAACGAACTGATCATTTGCATTCATTTCATTGATAGCTTTCTTGATATCGTATCCATTCCTATGCAAAGCAACAATCGCATCGTCCAATAATCGATCGCTGACTCGAGCGCTGTGCTCTGTTTCAGTCATTTTGCATGCGTACAGAGTGAAGCGGCGGAAAGTTCTGGAAAATGGAATATTATTTTACTTGACTTTAACCTGAAGTCTTAAATTTTGTTTGCAAAGTATCCTTGGGTGTGACAAAAGTCTAAATTAGTCGAATTTCACAGTACAGTATCTTTACAGTACTTGTAATCTTTCAAAAACACAAAAATTCCGTAGCTGGGACACGGCGGTCCTTTTATTATCTTAGAATACAAAACACGATCGGCGCCGGGATTTGAAACTGAGCTAAACCGAGCTAACTAAACTCTCGCTTACCAGCCAAGCACTCTACCAGACTCTACCTGAGCTAAACCGGCACTTATCCCATTGTCATCAGGATAGGACTTTACTCCGTAAGACTTTATTTTGCTTCCCACCTTGTCAGATTCACATAATGCGTTTCTCGTTCCTTTTCGATTTGCCCGGGCACATAAAGTAGCTCATCTCGATCAGGATCCTCGGACAAACTGCATGTCGGCTCGGCCGGTAGCTTTGCCTAAAGATTTTTGTTTAATTCATTTCTACTATTACAATTTGGTGCTAAACATTGTGACTTTTCAGCTTCTCATACAAACCAAGAGCGCTACGCATAGCGCTCGTACTTGTTATGAGTTTTGAATCATATCGCGACCACTTTATAGAGTTTTCAAATGATTTTAAAACAGAAATTTGGTCTTAACCCAGCCCTGGATGCGTTCGGCAGAAGTTCCTTATTTGATAATGTTTAATTTCTTTTCTAGAATCTTTGTTCTTTCAAATACCCATCGCATCCATTAATCTTTGTCTCACAAGCATTATTCTCAAGGGATTAAGTTTTGAAAGAACCAAAATTTCCCTTAAAAATCTTCAAAAATCATAAAGTTCTAAAAAATAAACAAGAAATTTTCTATTTTTGTATAAGCTCAAAGAAGATTTTGATGAGTCTTTTAAGGAAAACTAAAGGGAAAACTAAAAGAAAGGAAAAGGGAGGAAGGAGAAGCCTAAATGTAAACAATTTTCTCTTTTTTTTTTTTGTGTAAACATTATTGCAAATAAAGAAAAAGCTTTAGATCTCTATTCATGAATAATTTGTATATGGAATACGACCGATTTGCTCTAAATTTGCATTTCGGAGCATCTGGTCAAACAAAAACATTGAGCTTATTTTGAATCGGGATAAAGAAGAGAAAAGCGGAGAAATTTAAGATAAAACACTGCATATTAAACTTTTTAGCTCAAGTTTTTATCTCGTTTTTAGTTTAGAGATTTATTTTTCAAAAACCTGATAGGCTGCACCGACTCGGATCTCGCCTTGCACAGGTGCCAGTCTTCTTGATTCCTGAAATCATAATGATAAAGAAAATTGAACACAAGTTGATAGCTCTTTTTGTCAGTTGCCAAAACTACACGAGACAGTTCTTTGAAGAGCTGGACGTAAAAGATAAAGCCGAAGCAGGCCGAAGCAGGCCAAAGCAGGCCAAAGCAGGCCAAAGCAGGCCAAAGCAAAGCCAAAGCAGGCCAAAGCAAAGCCAAAGCAGGCCAAAGCAAAGCCAAAGCAGGCCAAAGCAGGCCAAAGCAAAGCTAAAGCAGGCCAAAGCAAAGCCAAAGAAAAGCCAAAGCAAAGCCAAAGCAAAGCCAATAGCAAAGCCAATAGCATTTCCTGGCCTTGGTCCAGTCTCAATAGTTAATCAAGGAGTTTACTTAAAGTAGCCATTCAAGGTATATTCTGCTACAGTATCTAATTCAATTCAGTTACTAATTAATTTCATTTATTTTATCAACTCACTTGATTATAGGATAAACAACAAGCAAAGACGGATTCTTGTGTCAAATCGGTATCGCCCAATGATCGGAGATCCCTCACAAATGACACTTTGCACTTGCCTCTGAAATGTTAAATGTAAAACTTTTGGATTAAATTATTATTCAACGAACCATCAAAAATTGTGCTTAAAGATTTGATTATGAAATCTCAAGTCAATAGAAAAAAAAGGCGAAAAGGTTGATTGACTGGCAAAAAGTCTTTTTGCGCTTCTGAGCTGGGGATACGAAATATGGTCTGGCAAATTTGGACCAGCAACCTCTAGCTTATCGATTAAAAATCAAGAAATGTTTGGTGGCAAAAGAAATTGTTGATCAAAATTCAGCAAATGTTTGTTTTGTAGAAAAAAAAGAAAAAAAAAGAGAATGGTCATTTAAAAAGTAATGCCATTTTTATTCCCTTTTTTCGATATCTTAGCAACGGACTCGAAAATAGACATCGAAATGCGCGAAAATGACTACATTTCAAGGAAGGCTTCGTTTAGTTTCAAAAATTTCCCTTTCTAAGACCAGTCCTAAAGATTACAAGAAAATTCTGAATTGTGTGGCTAGTTTTGCCCACTAATGAGTGTAAATGAGCTTGTGTAATTGTTTGCGTTTGGGAAATTTTTCTAAATAGTTAAAAGTGCTATTGCTGTGCTAAATTCACGAACAAAGTTGAACTTGGCAAGTCTTTTTGCGCTTCTGAGCTGGAGAAGTCTGTGGTCGAAATGTGGTCTGGAAAATTTGGACCAGCAACCTCTGGCTTATCGATTAAAAGCTTGACCAATGAGCTACACGAACAGATAACCAAATGCCGAGTTATAAAAGTAAGAACAAGAAAAGAACGTAGGATCAAGTTGTTTGGAATGTCTTGGCTTTTTTCAAAAACTCAAAATTTGAAACAAAAACAAGTGAATGGGGGAAAATGGGGATTGCAGTTTGTGTGAGGGATGGCGGGGAGAATGGGGAAAAGGGGAAAAAAGGGAAAGAAGGGGGATGGATGGACGACGGCCTTCCATTGATCGACAACCACTAGGGAGAGGACATTGGGGTGAAAGGGACACTGCCGATTCACCCCGCCGTTTACACTGAATATTACGATTTTTTGCCTTTGCTATATAAATCAATTACTAAACATATAGGGATTTCATAAACAGCAAACTGTGAAACGGTGATAACAACAAAAGAAACTAAGAAAAGTACAAGATCACAGTGCTGCAATTATTTGAAATAATATGGAATGGCAAAGCTAGGTATGGAATGGCAAAGCTAGATATGGGAAGGTAAAGTTTAGCTAATATTTTCGATTTATTCAAATTGATAAAGATAAGGTAAACTACTCAATAAAATACTGTTTTTGAGAGGTTTATTAATAAAAAGTTTAAATGCTAAATAGAGATCAGTCCAAAATTAGAAAGTGATAGGTATAAAGGAATAATATTTGGTAAGTTTATGATTGTTTTCAAAAACTTTAGTTTAGGAAGTTCAAAAAAGCGTCTTAGTAAACACTTAAATAGATCTGATAGAGATGTACAAATAAAGCTTATCAAATACTTCTAATTCCAAAGCTTCTCAAATACTTCTAACTTCAAAGCTTCTCAAATACTTCTAATTTCTCTAGATTATTATGTGAATTTAGCTTTAGATAAGACTGAGATGACGATATTAATATAAAGTTTAGAAAGTGCACTAGTACTAGTAATATAATAATATCATAATATAATAATATAATAATATAATAGTATAATAATATAATAATATAATAGTATAATAATATAATAATATAATACTAAGATAACAAAAAACAAGTCATTAAGAACAAACTAGAATGAAAATAGCTTTATAGGGTGGCAGAAAAATTCTGCTGAGATCATTCGAGAAAGGGAGTCGAAACAATTACAGAGTGGGCAGCTAATTGGAGTCGGCTTAGTACACGAATAGCCATTGGCAACCAGAAAACAAGAATAAGGAAAGAGAGTGAGTGTAGATGTGGCATGTTCCCTCTCTCTCAGTGGTCAACCTTTCCCTTTCCATCTCTGACCCTCTCAACAACTCCCCCATCACTCGTTCAATTCCCTTTCCCCCTTTCTGGCCCACAGCCAACCCACGTGCAAAGTATACAAGAGAATCGTTTTGCTCTCTTCTTTTCATCTTTCTCTTTTCATCTTTCTCTTTTCCTCGTTCTCTTTTCATTTCCACCTCTTCCCTATCTGATTTCATTTTCTCGCCGCGTCTCCCCTTTTCAAAGATATTGCAATAGTGTCAATTCTCTCCGTTTCTCTTTTTCAAAACATCACGAAATCTAGAGTTAGCTGTTGAACTCATTGATCTAGCTTGTACTTTGTAGAAAAGAGATTCGTCAGATATTTCTAAAGCTGACAGTGATGAAATTACCCTGTTGGAAAGTCATGGAACAAGGATTTGGCAGTGTTGATGAGATTAATAAAGTTGTTCAGAAAAGTAAAAGAGGTAGTGAAAGGCAGATGAGATTTCAAAGCCCTATAAGCATCTGTCTAAAAAGTTCGAGTTGATCAATTATCTTTCAGAAATTGGCAGGCTTTTGATCAGTTGAATTGTCAAAATGATTTTGTTAAATGATTCGATTCGAATGTTCAAATAAAATTCAAAGAAAAAAAGAACTTGTTTAAGAAAATCAAAGCTAAAATTAAGAGGAAAAGATTTGAAAAAGATGAAAAGATGTAATTTAAAATATTTCGAAAATTGATAAACCTGAGAGCAGCGATCGAGTAGGTTTGCGCGTTCTCTGACGAGAAAACTTCTCGTTGATGAGCCTGGAAATGATTTTGCATTCATTTCAAAAAATTATTTAAATCAAGGAAAGAAACTATGCCCTTTTGATATAAGAGTTATCCTTTTTAAAAATTAAAACCAAGCTTGGAAACAGTATGGCTGATTCTATAAAGTATCAGCTTTGATAGCTTTGATAGCTTTGATAGCTTTGATAGCTTTTATAGTTTCATAGTTTCATAGCTTTCATAGCTTTCATAGCTTTCATATCAAAGTTTCACCTTGACGTAGTATCTTTTTCTAGTAAGAAATAGATAGTAAGCTAAATAAGCTAAATAAGCTAAAGAAGCTAAAGAAGCTAAAGATGCTAAATAAGCTAAAGAAGCTAAATAAGCTAAAGAAGCTAAAGATGCTAAATAAGCTAAAGAAGCTAAATAAGCTGAAGAAGCTAAAGAAGCTAAAGAAGCTAAAGATAGTAAGCTAAATCAAATCAATTAAAGAAATTTACTTGTTCCAATTGATCCTGTTGCTCTTGTTCTAATTCGAGCTCGCCCCGTTCTTGAAGAATCAACGAGAGAGAATCCTGAAAAAATACGAAATACTTCCTAAACTTGATCCTTTCCTATCTAGCTATAAGTCCTATTAAAAAATTTTATATGCAACTCTACAATATTTGTTTCAAACTTGCAAGAGAACGTGGTTCAAATCGTTCTTTCCAAATGCTCAAATCAAAACAATCAATCTGCCGAATCACAAAAGCACTGACTCATCTCGCACAATTGTGTTCAAAAGATTGTGAAAAAAGGGAAATTCAATAAATTTCTCAAATTTATTGACCCCTCAAGAAAAGCTATAGCTGAATAGCTATCGAAATCGAAAACGAAACCCTCCTTCACTCACCTCAGGCACATCATCGGCGCGATAAAATCGGTGCAACTTTACGCTCAGCTGGTCGCGTTTCGTCTGAAATTTTCGAGATTCATATAGAGTTTTGCTTTTCTACTGTATTTCTTTTCTTTGCTTTGCTGTTTTGCTTTTCTACTGTACTTGGTATTATACCCAACAATTTATACAAGGAAAACTGGAAAAGTTTGACTGGGAATAATATAAGCTAGGTCGGGATTCGCTACTTCTGTTTGTATTGTACTTAAAAAGACAGCTAGCAAGCAATTGTTAGACAATGTTGCAATTGTCTAGTTCTAAAATCTTCAATAATTTATCTCAAAATATAGCTAACAATTAGCTTATTCGTTTTTAAGATCGCTACTTTAACTCTAATGTGTGTATTTTCATTTCGATAGATTCATATCGGTTGGAAAAAAAGTGGTAAGCCGCTTTTGGAGAGCATCAACGGATAATCCTTTATGATCTGCCGATTGGAAAAAGAGAAAGGATCTCTTGAAAAAGAAAGAAAGAAATAGTGGGTGACAAGGGGATCTCTTGAGTCTTGAGAGAGTCTTCAGTTCATCTCTTCTCTACGCTAATTACCCACCATTTCTTGGGGTGTATGAAGGGGAGACTTTAGAAAAAGAATCGATCGGGTTTGATGCTATGATTAGGCTCACATAAAGGAACATTTCAAGAGAAGCTATCGTCATCATTATAGAGTGCATAAACTATGGCTGAATAGCTATGATGCTTATCTGTAGCAGATTTCAGCACTCTAGCTTGGAAATCCGAAGCCGGAGTCGAATGAAGGCTTATGAACTGCAAGGCTTATGAACTGATCAACACTTATGAATGGCGACGCTAATCACTACACCGTAACTGCTCCTAAAAAGTACAGCAACTTTAGGCGATTTATCGGTATAAACTCTTTAGAATTGTTTAAACATCAAGAGTGGATAGTTTTCGTTTCAACGGAACGAGTGTATGAATTACTGCTGTTACTGCATATGCAATACTGAATTTGTACTGTAATAATACTGTTCTCTACCTAGTCTAACTATACGCAAATGTTATCCTAGTCAGCGTAGACCATTTAGTCGACAGTCCCCCTTTTTCGATTTCCGTTGACAAACATTGAAAAGAGGATAGAAGGGGGGAAAAGAGTGGCGATTCGAGGGTGAAAGAGACACTGAAAAAAGGAGAGAACATGAGAAAGAAAGGGGGAAAGAAAGAGCAACACGCAACTTGATAGGCCATAAACAAGACGGCGCCACACTCTGTCTCTTCTCTTCCCTTCTCTTCCCTTCTCTTCCTTTCTCTTCCCTTCTCTTCCCCTCTCTTCCTTTCCCATTTCCCCCTCGAAATCCTTTCCTTCATATACCCGATTGCCGTGCGGAGTAAACCCGAATAACCATGCGGAATCATGAGCGCTCATTGTTTCGAGAAAAAAACTTGAAAGAGGGATAGACTAGAAAATAGAAAGTATTAGTGATTGGGAAATATTACGAGAAAAGTAGAATCTGATGAAACTAAAGAAATCTGACTATCTATCAGTCTCTCTACAGTATCCCAGCTGGCTTTGGCTTAGCCTGACTTGGCCTGGAAATTTTGGTCTAATAGCAGCACTGGTCTTAACGTTAAACTACTACAACGTTAAACTACAATGGGAGATTGAATTAAAGTGAGTAGATTGCATTGTTTTGCATTGCATTACTTATAAACTTTCACTGCTCTGTTTCTAAGCACTTGAACAAAGACCTAGCCATCCAGTTTTTTTCTCTAGTTTTTCTCTAGTTTTTCTCTGGTTCTTTTTAAATCTTGCAATCTTGTTCACCCTTCTATTTTCATTAATCTCAAAATCATCCCTTGGGGTATTTCTGGGTGTGTAGAGTCACCGAAAAGGGGATTGACGCGGTTGAATAAGCGATTAGTCCCTCTCTTTCTGTTGGATCTCTTGGAGACGAGTTGTTCCATAAGACGGCAAAAAAGAGGAATGGTCAGGGATGATTCTTTTCTCTTCTCTAGTGGATCCCTCACCCATCCATTCCTCTTTTCCCCTTTCCCAAAAAAAACGATCGACAGAAACCGCACAATGGGTCACCGCATACTTGATAGACCGAGCGGAGTGCGCACCCACTCCCTCTTTTCAGAAAACTGCTTGTTTAGAGGTGTGAAATCTGATTATCAAATATCTTCAGAATTATATATAATAATATAATAATATCTTTAGAATTATATCTTCATATGAAAGCTAGACAAATCCTGCTTTGACCAGGCTCCACCCTTTGACCCTTTGTCCAAAACCTGTAGTTCAAAAATTTGACTAACTAGAAAGCTTCAATAAAGCCAATGGCTTAAGCTGGTTTAATAAATGCCCTTACAAAACAAATCTACAAGCTAAATCCAAATACAAATTAAATTCAATAGACTACTGTGCTAGAGCTAGGTACTATGGTACTTGACCTATATACAGTACTGGACAATGAAATATCATATTTGAAAAACGATCGCCACTTTTGCGCGTCTGTAACTCCCTTGTCTTTACCGTATTTCTAAATATTAATATTACCATCGTGTAGCCCTTGAAAAGAGCTTTCAGAGAATGTATAACACTAATAGTTTAAACTCTAATATTAATATTAAATAGGTAATATTAATATTTAGAAATACGGTAAAGACAAGGGAGTTACAGACGCGCGAAAGTGACGATCGTTTTTCAAATATGATATTTCATTGTCCAGTAGTGTAGCTTGATCATAGGACTATTACTAGACTTGTTAAGTTCTAGAGTATTCTTGACACAAGTAAAACTCTAAAACTAACACTGGATTATCGTACTAGACATTAAATGCTTGGTGACCAAGTCTATATCATTTCCAAAATCTTCAACATCGATTGTTTAGATAAGTAGCCATTTCTTCTCAATCCCCTATCCAATTTCTTCCATTCATTCTCATCATTTTGAGGAAAAAGAGACCATCTGGTGACCCTTTTCACTCCTTTACCCATTGATGCTAATGGTTGTTGATTATGAGATTGACTTTAAGGCAAAATCCCTGCAGGTCCAGGATCAACTCAATCTAACAGCTCAATCCTAATAACTGACTACTGACAAGTTACGCAACTTTCTAAAGTCTCATTCTTAATTTCCAACTCCAAGAATGATTTTCAATGTCCCCCCACCCATAGCGACATTCCATTCTCCCGCATTTGGGGGGCAAAGGGGAAAAAGGAAAAAAAGGAGGAAATCGAGGCTGTGAGGAGTTCTTTTTCTGCTCAATGTCCCCTCCCCTTCACACGGGAAACGAACGCACACTCTATTGCTTTTCCCCTTTTTTTTCTTCCAAAAAGGGTCTAACGACTGGGAAAGCCAAAGAAAAAGAAGGGAAAAAAGACCAGCTAGCCCTATCCGATGGCTCATCGATCTACTATTAGTTATTGTTGGTCATTGAATGTGAAAATGTGATCAATGTGGGAGAATCGACTGACTGGGGTATACCTTGGTGTCGGAAATGTGTCGGAAATGGGAACAGCACCTTGCTAATGCACTTGATTTGTAAACAAAGTCAAAGGTTGGTAAAAAGCTGATTGTGAGATCTGAGGAAGGTTCCTTTTTGTACCAAGGTGTAGGTAAAGAAGTTCTACGTCTTGTATAGCTTCAGATATTAACAGCGATGTTTCAACCGGGTTAGGGCCAAGCCAAGCCAATCCAGGTAAGGCAAGATTAGAGCTTGGTCGTCGGATCCAGGTCTCTAAGCTTACTTGCCCAGAGCTGACCTAGATCTGGCCCTGGCCTGGGTCTGGCTCTAGTCTTGTTCTAGCCTTGGTCTTGGCTTTTGAAAGCACTAGATAGCAAGGGGTATTTTGTAAACGATGAACAATAAACCAGAGTTTAAACCCTTTAGCTGGGATTCAAAAAGTCTATCGTATCACCTTGAATTGTGGTGAATTACTTAGCTATTTAGCTACGTATTTGAGCTTTGTTCAGATTTTGACTGGTTTTATTGCTCATCTAAGGCTTACTCATACTCCTTTAGAATTGCCGATCCCTCCCGGGAAACTCGTTTCCCCATTGATTTCCCTTTAAATGGACTGTCTCCTTTTCTTATCACTTTTCATTCATTTCCCCAGAAATATCTGTGAAGAAATATATTGGTGTCGGGGGTTTTTCAAAAAGTGGGAAGAGTGAATGGGGGGTGCAATGGATGAGTGAAAGAGGCGCTTGTTGGCGTCTCTCCCGTCCGCATTGTCAATCGGGTATACTCCGCACGGCCAATCGGGTATATCAGGCTGTCCTTTTCGGGGGCACTCTTTCCCTCTTTCCCCCTTTCCTTCTTTCCCTCTTCCCTCTTTCCCCTTTTCTTCTCCACAACCCATTAACCCTTGAGCACACAATGGACATCTCTCTGTTCTCTTTTCTTTGCTCACATGCAATTCTCGGCCAATATCCTCGAGCGCATCGACACACATCAAAATTCGGCATGACTAATCAGAAGATGATGGATTTTGAGAGAATTGGCGAGAAATTGAGAACTTTAGAGAATAGATAAGCGATTTCTTATGGCCAGATTGTCTATCAGAACATTCCTGTTTTAAGGACTCAATATTGCTTTTGAAAAAAAGACTCAATTGCTTAGACTCAATATTGCTTCCCAATCTCATTACAGTACCATAATAAAAGTTTAGTTAGAAATATTGTGATGAGCGAAGAGGATGACTTTGTAGAACTCAAACATTTCTTGTTTCCTTTCCATACTACTCTCAACTTCAATCAAATCATTATTTTGTTAGTCAAAATCAAAAAGGAAACCAAAAAAAAACGCGTCTCTCATATTATTTGCCTATCGAATGTTTGTGTTTGGATTGAAGGAAAGGGGAGACGAGAAAAAGTTTATTTGCTTTTGCTCATGTACACATTTATCGGCTAAGAGTCTTCCCTGTGTGTGAAAAGAAATATATTCGGGAATCGGGTCAAAAAAGAACCCCAATTTCTCTTGTTCATTCCCTGAGGCAACGGGAACTTATTATCGGTCTTAAAGGGAGGAAAAAGGAAAAAAAAATAAGACTAAAACACAATGACGATGGTGGGAATAATGGGAAACGGTGGGTAGAAATGCGAAAGTTTGTTGAATACGTTTTTATGAGATTTAAGAACTTGATTAATCCAATTAATATTGCCTAATCCAGGCAATAGGCGAAATGGTTCTTTTAAAGTTTTTACAATAGGTGAATTGACAAAAAAGTCAAAATAGATGACTTGCCAAATTAAAGCCAAGTTAAAAGCCAGATAAAAGCCAGTTAAAAGCCAGTTAAAAGCCAGTTAAAAGCCAAGTTAAAAGCCAGTTAAAAGCCAGTTAAAAGCCAGTTAAAAGCCAGTTAAAAGCCAGTTAAAAGCCAGTTAAAAGCCAGTTAAAAGCCAGTTAAAAGCCAGTTAAAAGCCAGTTAAAAGCCAAGTTAAAAGCCAGATAAAAGCCAGATAAAAGCCAGATAAAAGCCAGATAAAAGCCAGTTAAAAGCCAATCTGGGTTTTGAATTTTTGAGGCTTAGATTTAAAGGTTTAAAGGTGCAAAAGTGTTTAAGCAAAATTTGGTAGCTATCAACTTAAAAGAAGTGTTTAGAGTCAAATTTTATATTTTGCTCTTTGACTTTGACTCAAATTGACTTGAAATTGAGTGCTTTTTTGACAAATTGACTGAAATTGAGTGCTTTTTTGATAAATTGACTGAAATTGACTGCTTTAAGTTGACTAGTTTTTTTTCTAGCTTAACTTTGCCTTGACCTCAATTTAATTACTACTCACACCAGTAAAAAGGTACTATTAGGTTAAGTATTAAGTCTTTCACCTTTCAGTCTTTCAGTCTTTCATTTTCTAATTGAATAAGTCTCAAGCTATCAAATGAAATACGGGTTTTTTTTCATTAAATAGCCTAATCGATAGATATTTAGATAGACTTTTTCAATGACTTTTTAAAGTACAAATGACTTTTTAAAGTTTCTGAAAAGATTTGAAGATTTCATTATAGATTTAATTTCAAAAAGCTGAGTATTCAAAAACGAAACGAAACGAGAACGACATTCGATGATGCGATTTCGATCGTTTCTTTCAATGAAACCTATTTTAATGTCAAAAGAAAAAAGATAGTGCTCAAAAAGTTAGGTTTACAACCAAAATACAGAATAAATTGTTTAACGAATTGCTCATTTTTCAATATTTTTAAAAATATCAGTTTTCTTTCTCGCAAATTATTATAGAATACTAAAAATTGTTTTAAAATGACAAAAAGGTAAACAATAAACATTTCTAATGAAAGAAATTCGTTGGTATTTCGTAGTTTGAAACTTTAGAAACTTGTTTATTTAGAAATGAAGGGTGCAAGACTTAGTACTCAACTTAAAATATTATTTTGTACTGTAAGCATAGCCCTTGTTCATTCTTTCATTCATTTCCCACTAACCGTTTTGAAGTGTTGAATCGATCCGATGAGATACGGTTCGGCGGCGGTCGTCTCCACGTAGACGATGTCCCCTTTTCGATACACCGTCCCATCGTGCGCCTCAAAGCATCGCCACTCGCCGCCGCCCGTGCTTCGGTAGGCCTGGAAATACATATTGATTAACGTTTGCTTAATCTTTTGATTTATCTTGTTCGCTTTCCCCCAATGACTTCTTTTCTTCTCATTCACTTCACTTTCCAACCCCCAATCCAATCACTATGCAAATGGGGATCCCTCTCTCTTTTCGTTTCTCTTTTCCTTTCTCTTTTCACCCATCCGTTCCATTCTTTTCTTTCCCGGTTTGTCGCCTTCACTCATATCCTCATTTCTCTTTTCCCCTTTCTTTCCATCTCATTTAATGCATGGAAATATGAAACGTAATTCCCAGGGCTTAAATGAAAGCTGAGAGAGCTCAACGTTCATCTTCTTGCCTTATTGCCAATTTGTCGAAATCTGCTAAATCGAAATCTGCTATCCCTAGGACCTTCAAGCTTAAAAATTCTGCTATCCCTAGGACCTTCAAGCTTAAAAAGTAGTGATACTGTAGTTAAAACAAGCTACAATAACTACAATAACAATAACTTCGTCTCTCCAGTACCTCAATTCATTTCCAATTTCAATTCAAAACACTTCTAAATAAGCTGTTATGTTTTTGCACTTTTCCGCAATATTTGATAGTTTGTAGGAAAGAGGATGGTCATAAATTACCCCCTGGTCACCTGTCTACGAGAAAAGGAGAGACTCTTATGAGTGAGAAAACAAAAGGCTTACCCAGCCAATCGAGGGGATGGATTACCCAGAGGGAAAAAAGGAAAAAATAGAGAAAGAAAAAGAAATAGATAAAGGAAAAGTGAACGGGATAGGGGTGTTTCTCTTGACCTTTGCCTCTTTTTTGATGAAACAAGTGGGAGAAGGAGATCCCTTCAAGCGAACACCGCCCTTCTCAATTGCCCGCCTTTGATCTGTTGCTCTTAAAAAGCCGGGATTCTTCTTTCATTTCACCAAAATCATAATATCTAATAAATGAGTGATTCTTGTAATGTTGTATTACATAAGTAATGTTGACACTTTTTTAAAAAACGAATGGACTGATTTGATTTTAATCTAAAACTATTATGAATCAATGAATCACTCAAAATTAGCTTACTTATATATAAATGAGTTTGAAAATTGAGAGGATTGGTTCAAAAGAGTCATTACAATTACGAGAAATGGGCGGACATCGTCTCTTTTCCAAGGGGCCAATTTCCTTTTTCCCTCTTTTAGTCTTGTGTTCGAACGGAAAACAACGAATGGGTGAACGAGTGGAGGAAAAGAAAAGAACAATAAAATGAAAAGAAATGGAAAGAGTGAGTGAAAGACAACCCAAAACCGGGAACAAATTGCGCCAAGTCGATATAAAGAATGAGGAGAAGAACTCAAGTGAATGGTGTAGGTTTGAAAAACTATTCTGATAATGAGAATCAAAAAGTTTACTCGACTTAAAGAGATCCAATCCTAGGGTTAGTTGAGTGGCCTGTTGATAAATGTATCGTTTGAATATGGCTGATCAAACTCTTGAACTTTGAAGCTTCAACTCCATTGAACTCGATTCTTCGTTCTTTGTTCTTCGCATTTCTTGAAAAACGGACTAACCCTTTGAGATAAAATTGAACAAGCCAAATCCTTTTAGGGCTTAAAGCTGAGACTACAAATGATCAGCTCTAAAAGAGCTCAATGATCAGCTCTAAAAGAGCTTTCCAATGCCCAAAACTTATGTCTTAACTTTCCGTCCAAACATAGCTAGCAAATGGTTTCGCAAAGAGGAAAAGCGGTTCGCTTTTCTTCTTTACGCTTGGCTGGAGTCCCGTTGTCGGGTGTGTGTCTGTGCATATGTGGATGGATGGATCGTTCCCTCCTCTCACTCCAATGATCTCCCCCGTCCAATCGAGTACTCTTCTATGTGCAAACAGACGTCTCTTTCCCTCTTTCCCCTCTTTCCCCTCTTTCCTCTTTTCATTCTTTGTCCTTGAGGGTGGTTGAATGCGTGTGTGTCAATGCTTGTCTCTATCTATCAAAAAAAAGCGAGAGTTATGTGTCGATCGTGTACATTGCTGGCATAGTTTAGCGAGGATTTAGCTTGCTCTATCGAAAGCTTACATTTGACTGGCTCTTTAAAAAGTTAGCTATCTTCAAGATTACAAGATTACTTCAAGATTCAAGATCTATTCCTTAAAAACCTATAATTGTTAAATTGGATAATTGCTACCAAATTGCTACCAAGAACAAACTACCAACAATGAGCTGATCATTTACCCCAGCTTCTTCACTTACCCCAGCTTCTTCACTTACCCCAGCTTCTTCACTTACCCCAGCTTCTTCACTTACCCCAGCTTCTTCACTTTCCCCAATCCTCAATTGACATCTCCATACACTAATCTTCTCCACCCCAATAAGCTTTCTTATACGGGGAGGGGGTTTACGTTATCGAAAAGAGGGGAAAATATATGGAAAAGGGGTAAGAGAAAGGAACTCTCTTGGGAAATCGTCACATAGAGAATAAGAATAGAGAAGGTGTCATCTTTACACCAAAACACCCAAAATGATCATATCAAAAAGTTGCTACAAGATCGATAATAAGCTAGTGCTCTAATTTTATTATTCGACTCAAGATTGTTCTCATCATTAAATCTTCAAACCGAAGCACTTTTTAATGACCGTAATCTCTAGAAAACTAGTGAAACTATACGGTATTTGAATACTGTACTAATAAGTGAAACTGTTTGATCTCAAGTGATCAGTAAATCTTGAAATCGAAAAACGTTTTTAATTAGGCGTACTATTGCAGTATTTTAATATTGTAATAATAAGCTAAATGGCGTACTATTGCAGTATTTTAATACTGTAATAATAAGTTAATCAAAATCCCAAGTGATCTAATTTTATTCTAATTGTTTTGAAGGCTTTTTTTCGAATTCCGAATTAATTGGTAATCCGTTTTTGAGGCGTAGTTTTCATTTTGCTTTTCTTTTAGAGACCCTTCATGAGTTGGAGAAAAGAAAAAAGGTCACCCATAAAAGGAAAAAAAAGAAAGAAAGGCGGTCTGTATAAAGCAGTAGCACACACCAACCAAGTGATCGTTGGAGAAAAGGGGGGAAAGAGAAGAAGGGCAGCTGGTCGAGTGGGTGAGAGGAAAAGAAGAAGAAAAAGAAAAGAAGGGAAAATTGATTGAATATGGTCAAACAGGGAATGGCGCGTTAAAAATGGTGAAGGTGACACACAAAGAAGGAACGGAAAGAAGGGGAAACGGGGGAAAGGAAGAGTTTGTGAAGTTTGGGTTTGGGAAAACTATCTTAGCCAGATTTTACTATTCATTTTGAAAAGCTTGCAAGAAATGAAAATATAGATTGAAATTCTAATTGAATTTTAAGGTTTGAAAATGTGAAACTAGAGATTTTGTAAGTTTGAGGCAAAAATCGGCTTTAATTCGGATTTAGATTTCAAAAATTTTAAGTTACGGTCTTTTTTGGCATCAATTTTCAGTTTTCAATGATTTGAAAAGAATTGGGGTGGAAAAAGGCAAAAAAATTAATTCAATAACCTTTGAATAAAGAGATAAAGAATAGATTTTTAAAATTTTTAGATTTGACGAACCTTTCCCCGGCGCGATTTGTCATTTCGACCGGGCAACGAGTAGTAGATCGGCTCGCACTCCCAAATGCCGAGTTTCGTGCTTTCCTCGGGACATCGGGAATTCTCGTCATCCGAACACGAGGCCGATGATGAGCCTGCAAAATGAGAATTGCAACAATGTTTCCTCTTGACTAATCGCTTCCCTAAAAGGGAAGACTTTACTCAAATAGTCAAATTCAATTGAATCAGTCCAAACTTTGTATTATTCAAACCATAAGGCTCAGTCAAAATTGGGTTGATTCAATGAAAACTGATAGTTTGAATAGGGTAATGATAATTCAAAATGATAAAATGGATGCTTTGTAGAAAATTCATTTGCTTAACAAGTACAAAGATTGTCCATCAGTACCAAAAAGTCTAAAAACTATAAATAATCCGCTTTTGCCATTTGCTATAACCTCAAATCACTTTCTTTTTTTTTGTTCACCTGGAGCGCTCATCGAATCGGCGATGAAGCGAAGAGCCGAAGAGGCTTTGATGGCAAAAGAAAAGCACCGAGGAGTGGGAAACTCGTCCGGCGGAATCCTTGCGATTTCACCCACCACACCCGTACAAGAAATGACACCTCGAGACGATTCCAGTTAAATTGTTGTTTATGGAATTAGTATTGAATTTTTTTGATATCCTTTCGAGTGGGTTTTCGTTGTCTTTTGAATGAATAAAGTTTGCCTTTTAGAGGCTAGAAAGACGCTTTGAGAAAGACGATTGGCCACCACGATTGTCGAATCTGAAAACTGATGACCAAGGTCAGAACCGGAAAATCCAAGAGTTCGCAAAACAAAAAATTTATTCGTACTAGAAAAAAAAAATCCAGTTTGTTGACAGGTTAGCCACAGTTTTGTGATCAAATCAGTTTGATAAACTGACGCTTGACCTGTGTAGGACACTAGTGCTGTATGACTCAAGTGAGATTCTTGTCATGGATCTAAAGTCTTAAGTCTCTAAATCTGGCTATCGATTGTTTCAAAAGAGATTAATGAGTCAAAGTAATTGCCTAAAAACAAGCAATAATCAAAGAAAAGTGGGGAAATGAGAAGAAAAAGAGGGATGAAGTTCACATATCATTTGTGTGTGGCTGTGGCTGCTGGGAAAAGAAAAGAAAAGACGAGAGTGAGTTGAGTGAATGAGTGAATGAAAAAGGGGGAAGTATGGGAGGGAAAAGATTGGAGAATTCGGAGAGAGTGCAGAGAAATGACAAAGGAGGGAAAGACTGAGCGCAGAAAAGATCGACACAAAAACACCCCGGTCTCCGTTCAATCCACCGCACACATATTGGTGCCCCCAAGGGATGGAAAGAGAGAGAAAGGACAGATTTGTTCCCCAATGGCTTAGCACATCTTGGCCTCTTCATCCATTCGGGGGGTTTGAGGAGTAATTGTTGACAAAGACCTCGGTCTTCTTATAGCCGACCTCCCCCCGGATACCCATCAAATAGGGGGATTCTTTTGAAGTGCTCATAAGAAATCGCTTTTGGAGCAAGCTTTTGAGATAAACCGGAATTGAAAGACAACTACAACAGTTTATAGGTTTGTAGGATGTGCTTAAGCCTTGAAAGAGTTGAAACGGATTATTGAAAACATTTTGAAATAAATGGAAACTTTAACTACAGCAGCATGCCATTTATGGGATCACTCTGGGTAAGCCTTGAGAGAATAGTGGATTAGAATCGAGCGATTGGATGGGTTTGGATACCTCTACAATGATTACTCTGGATAAAAGTAAGGCATTTGGGATTGGGATACGCGTCGGTGTAGCTCATTTGTAGATCGCTCAATCGGTAAGCGAAAGGTCACGGGTTTTGATCGAATCGAATTATCGAAGAAATTTGAACAAACTATACGCTTACAAATCTTAACCTAGTTGGATATGGTTGTAAACTCTTCATCAAAAAGAATCCTCTAGATACCGATTCATGATTTTCGATATTTATTTTCAAAAGAACTTATTTTTTTTGCTCGGAATTACCCTCCTGGGAATCGAGGAGGGGATTACTGGGATGAAAAGAGGGAAAAAAGGGATAACAAGAGATGAATTTAAATTTGGAAAAGAAGGGAAGATTTCGTCGGTAAGAGTTCAAAAAATTGAAATGTGAATGGGTGAGTTGATCAGGATTAGGTCAAAAATAGAAACCCGAGTAATGAAAAGATACCTTTGGTGACAAGTTTATTTGGTTCAGAGACTTTTAGGAGACCTTGAGCTTGGTTATTGGTACAAAATGATCTGAAATCCCAAGCATCAAAGCAATTAGCCTAACTTGGAATAGAGAGTTAACTTGCACGTATACTTCGTTACAGACCATCCTAAATCTGAAATCCTGAAGCTGACAATGAGGTTATGAACATCAAAGCAATCAGAACGACAAGTCAAATTTCCCCAAAAAAACCCATCTTTATTGAGAGGAAACATTGAGACACAAGACGAAGAAAGCAGGAAGCACGCGAGAAGAAAACACTTTGGTTGTGTGTGCGAGAGGTCTCTTAGCCGAAGAAAGAAAAGATATGAGAAGAGAAAGAGAATGAAAAGAGAGAGACATTGCCCCCACTGGCACCACCATGCGGGGAAAAGGGGAGAGCCTCCATTTCGAGGAGAGACGAGAGATGGGGAAGGGGAGACGCCCCGAGAATTTTGGTGGTCTTTCAATGGAAGCGACGAGCCATTCCCGCTCAACGAGATGTCTTCTTCTTTTGCTTTTCTTTGGGTCCCCCACCTTTCTCTTTCTATGGGATTTTTGGAAACGAGTCGCAACTTTTGAGGGCCTTAATTAGGAGAAAAAAATTTAAGAACTAGAATTAATATGGTGAATTTGGGCTAAGGTAGTTCCAACCAGACTGGGTAGGATAAGGACTTGACCGGACGCCTGAAAATGAACTGAACCGGACCGGGCCGGATCGAACCTAATTGAACTCACTGTGAATGAAAATAACTGTAAGGTAGAATCGAAATATTTGACTTAAACTTAACAATATGACCTTTGAAGATACTTTGAAGCTGAAATCATCTCATTGTCAGGACTAGAAAGCTCAACATCGGCTATAGAAAAGCCAGATCAGTGGAAAAGACTGGAGAAATCAACAAATTAAGAACTTTTTCGAAAGTGGTAACTTTTAGTATTTGAAAAGCACCTGATTAGCCTGAGTGATAGGCAATTATACAAAAAAAGAATGGAAAAAGAACAGGGAATCAACAAAAGTACAGTAGTTGAGGGGAAAAAAGAAAAGGAGATGAACGAAGCAAGGTAATGTCAGCGAACATGAAACAAGTTTTTTTTTGAATCGGATTTTGGTTCTAAATTGTTGGTGAACAAAAAAACAAACCTAAAGACAAGGCTTCATTTTATAAGCTTAGCAAAACAAAAAGTTAAGTAATGAAAGTAAAGCAAAAACATTCAGAGGTGATTTGATCAAATGTTTGAGTAAGAAAAAAAGAAAAGAAGAGGAAAAGAGGGTGCCCCCCAGATAAATGTGGTGTGCCAATTGGCCTCTCCTTTTTCCCCCATAACCCTGTCCATTCTCTAATCAAGGGAAAGGACCGGTTTCCCCCTTTTCCCCCCATTCTGCCAAAGATAAACGATTGAGTCATTTACATTAAAAGTTTGAAATCTTAGATAGTTCGTTGATTGATCGTTATCGGGAAGCGATGGAAAAAGGGTGACAGATTTGGAAAGCAAAAAAATATATAGTATTGTAGCAAAAGACTAGTTAGTAACTAACTTCCTTACCTAACATCCTTAGCCTTCTTAACCCCTTTCTAAAGTGATTTGACCCGAAACCCAAAACAAAATAACAAGAATATTTAGATTTGCGTTTTAGTTAAAAAGAATTGGTTAAGTTGAGTTTATACGGCATGTGTAAACGAATTCAAAAAAATGGAGTAGAAGAAGCCGAAAAGAAAACCGTATTAGAGTTTTAAACAACAAACTATGGGCAAACAATATAAAAAGGAGGGAAGGAATGGGGGAAAGAGAGTACTTTAAAAACGCGCTACAAAAACAATAGATTTTACGAATGGTGAAGAAAACCTAGCATCAAAGCCAGGGAAAATACCCGATTCTATCATGAAATGAAGAAAAATGAAAAGAATGGCAAAAGGGGAACTTTTGTGCGGGGTACAGTAGCGCATCCACGCTTTAGAAAGCGCGCCACGCCGTTTCCACGCCAGTTCCTTAAAACCGCCCGTCAATAGGAATCGAACGTACTGGCTTAAGCAAATTGGCTGGAGATTTTGCTTTGCATTATCTAACCAATACAATAAGAATGATATCTTCAAAACTTGCCACGAAAATCACGGAAATTTAAATTAAACCATCTTTTCTCGAAAAGACTCTAGTGATCTATGAAAAAAAACGTTCCTCTTGAGATAAACAAATATTCACTGCAAGATCAAAAGAACTAAAAATACGAGAAAAGATTTGACATTGAGGTCATTTCGGGGAAATTACACGCGATTCTGGGTAATCGGCTTGCTGTTTTTGCGCTAGAAAGCGAGCAATTAAAGGTCGAGGTAATTTCCGATCAAAATACAGCTTTTTAAAGAGTTGAACGGTTTAAGTGAATCTTAAAGTTTCGCTTAGTTATAAAACTAAGCATCGTATTTCAACAAGTTGATAGTTTGAAGTAGAGCCAGGTCAATTTCCGACTCTGATTTGCCTTACCTGGTCTGACTTCTGGTCTTGCCAGATCTGGACTGGCTTTGACTTTACCTTACAAGCCCTAATGCCCGGCCCAAATGGCAAAATAGTTCAAAACAGGGAGACGAATTTAAGTCTGAACCAGAGCCTAAACCTGCCTAAACTAGCCCGAGCTCACTCTACTCTGGTTAAGTTCAGTAAGGTAAGTTATCGGAAACAATCAGAAATATCTTTAACTTTGAAACGTAACAATGAACAATGTCAGATTCTTGAAATGGCGCCTGAATCTTTTTTTAAAATGGATGTTTCTTTTTGCAATCAGTGGACTCAACATAAGATTTGTGGAGAGAGATTAATTAGTGAAGGAGATTTATTCACATAATCGGGTTCATAAACGCCGAATTGGGAATAATCGGATGGAAAAGAAAAAGGGGTGAATGGAAGGGATGAGAGTGAAAGGGGGGAGGGGTCGATGGAAAGGAAGGCTAGTCTCCCCCTTCACCTCTCTTTGGATAGATGGTTTATGTGTGCTTTGGCTAACACTTTCTTTTCCTAGTACTGCTGGTGCTTAATGTTAGACAAACTATATATAATTAGCAGTCTAAGATGCCGTAAAATCTCATTTCATTGAATCGAACCCTTGGAATCTTACAATTAGATCAAGACTGCTAACCACTCGGCTAAAATACTTGAGCAAATTGCACCAAATAGCAGCTCTTAAATGCAAACTCAAGGAAATCATCGCTTTGCAAATTTCGTTGCGAAATCATTGCTCATTTGCAAATTTTACTCTAGCCAAATTTATAAAGGTAT